GGTTGCCCAGACAGAGAGGGAGTTGTTTCTGGAGGGAGATTTATTGTGTCATGTGCTGCTGAGAGTTGAGCTGAAATAGGCACCAAGAAGTAGCCATTGAGTTAGACAGCAGAGAGTCCATGGGCGACCCCGACAAGAGCAACCTGGTGGTGCGAACGTCCTATCAGGTTGGGGTGAGGGGTCAGTGGGGGGTCAGGGACTGGAGCTGGGACTCTAACAGCTCTGTGGAGAAGTTCCTGTAAAGGGTAGCTGAGCCCTGGGGACTGCTGGGGAGAGGTGCAGAGTGGACGAAAAGACAGGTCTTTTGCTAGGTTAGTACGACAGCAGGGGGAAGGGAAGGCAAGGTGCTGCATGATTTTGGAGAAATGACTTGGAGTGGGTGGTGTTTTTAAGCTGTTGCCCGTGGGCCACAGAACGCAGTCCCCTACTTGGGCTCCCCATAATTTCCCCATAAAGTCTACCTGTGTCTCTAATGCTTTGATGTGAGCAGATGTGTCCAGGAGGCACTAGGTTTTCCTTGGGCTGCAGAGCAAATGAAGAAGTGAGAGCCGATTCTCTACAACCTGTGATGGAGGCTCGGGGGTAGGCGGGTGCAGCGAGGGCTGGTGGACTGCTGGACCCAGCCACTGGCTGACGCATTCAGTGAGCAGACATCACCAAGTGCAGCTCCAGGCCCTGCAGACAAAAAGCAGATGAGCCCCTCTCTCCTCGAAAAAGCTCACTGCCCACAGGGGCGTGGGGCACTGAGGAGCAAACAGCCTGCGATGGAACTTACAGCCCGAGGCAGGCTTGTTGATTCTTAGATGCACAGTTTGAGCCTGTGTCCAGGAGGCAGTGTGAGCTCCTTGAGGAGGAGGTTCTTGGAAGGAGGCAGGGCCAAGGGAAGGGAGATTGGGGGGCGCAGTTTGAGGGGGAAGTGAGGGCTGACCTGGGGACCCTCAGAGTGCTTCGGTCCCCTGGGGTGGTTGAGCTGGAGTAAGGAACTTGTGGCCACTTCTGTTGGGAGGTTTGGGGTTTTCCGTGGTGGGTAACCTGTGACCTTCCCGAGAACAGGTGGCAAGGGAGGGTTCTACCTGCGCGAGGGAAGGCTCAGGGCTATGTGAGGCTCCTCGCAAATGCCGAGCCTCGGGCCCAGGGAGTGTGCTTTTAAGGCCCCAGGCGGCCTTCTCTACTTGGTTTTAAGAATGGGGGACGTGGTTCAGGTTCCTGCCTGCCCACGCCAGCTGTTGTGACCTTGGACGAGTCAGTTAATCTGTGATACCTGCTTCCTCAGCAGAAAGATAAGAATCGTGTGTGCCTACCTCATGATCCTGAGGTGGGATAAAATGAAGTGACCGACTCAGCAAACACTACCTCGTGTGTTGAGAGACTGCCAGGTGTGGGCTCTGGAGCCACAAAGTCTGGTCCTATTTCTTTATAGCTTTGCGATTGTGGGCGGGGTACTTCTTGCCTCAGTTTCCTGATATGCACAGTGGGGGTAGTACTAATCCCCGCCTTCTGAGGCATCTAATGAGGAATTAGAATCTGATGAAGGAATCCGTGTAATCGCTGAGGAGAGCACCCAGGCCGAGGTAAGCACTGGGTGCCAGCTACAGTTAGGACGGTGCCCTCGGGTGCACAGGGCCGTGTCTGCAGTCACGTGATGGTTTCTTCTTGTCTGCCCAGTTCCGCCTGGTGGTGAAGACAGCCCTGAAGCTGCTGCTCGTCTTTGTGGAGTACTCGGAGTCCAATGCCCCTCTTCTAATTCAGGCCGTCTCTGCTGTTGACACAAAAAGAGGTGAGTAGTCCCTGCCGAGTTATGTCATCGAAGTGAAAATGTCTAACATAGGGAGGTTTCCACATTTTACATGTTTGAAACAGTTAAGAATCACTAGAATTCCCTATGTGGGCTTCCCACTGCAAGAAACGTACTTTTTAGGATGGTGAGTATACAAAGATGAGGGCCAGAGCGTGGTTTGACAGTGAAGGAAAACCACTCATGGGCTTGCCCAGGAGAGGACAGACACTGAGTGTGTCTTTATCCTCTGCCCAGCCCCCACCATGAAACCACGGAGGACTGGCTCCCTCCTCTGCTTTCCCTGCCTCCTTCCTCTGCTCACTTCTATGAGGCTTCATTGCTTCTGACCCCTAGATTGCCTTGGACCTTCTCCCTTCCTTCCCTGCATCCCGTGCCCTGCCTTACTTGGGACTCTCACTGTCCCTCACCCATGCCCTTTGCCACTCCAAAGTGCTATTGGAAGATTCCTTTAACACACAAATTTAGTCACATCATTCCATATTGAAACCTGCCAATGGCTTCCCAGTGCCTACAGGGTAAAGTCCAAACCCTTCCTCATACGAGACCGTTCACCATCCAGCCCCTGTTCACCTGCCACCCCATCTCCCACCTGCTCTGCACCACCCCTCCTTACCTGTTTCTCCATGGGGCTGCACCCTGCTCGAGGCCCGGTCTCTGTGTCTCAGCCTGGTGTCCCAGCACCCAGCCGGCCCAGAGCCAGGCGGGCATGCCAGAAACACGTGGTGAAGAATGGGCTTTGTGTCTGGGTTAGGGTGTAACATGCTGCAGCCCCTGTGATATTAAGAAGCCTGAAGCTAAAATACTAGGGTTTTTTTTTTTTTTTTGTATTTTGTTTATATTCCTCCCCAGTAGGACTCAATTATTATCATCATCCCTACAAAGACTCAAATAAGAACAAAAACTTGATAATATTTTTTCTTTTTATGATTATAATAGTAGCACTACTATAGAAAATTTGGAAAAACCATTGCAAAAAAGACAATAAAAAGTCACCTCTAATCTCAACAAAGATAGTAACTGTGAACGTGTTGATACGTTTCCTTACAGGGGAGTGTGTGTACACGTACACTTATGCACAAGTCAGCTATCACTATCAGACAGAAACAAGGGGCCTACATAGCACTTAGATTCAAACCATTTGTCTCTGACTTAGCATTATTCAGAACCCCGCTTCCCAGTGCTGAATCCAAATGTGAAGGAAAGTAGCTTACTAGTTACTTCGAAAGTTTGAATATAAGTTAATGAAAGGATCCAGGACCATACACTGGGGTCCCATACCTGTCCTGTGAACATGGGCAGATGTCAGCACCAGACAAGGTTGATCGTAGGCCAAGAGGCACCTCCGGGCCTCTTTGTGGGGGCATGTGAGGGAGACAAACCCCGGGGTAGGGTCAGGCTGAGAGTCTGGAAGGTGGCCCTGGACCGAGGCAGGTTTCTGTCTGCCGCAGCTGCCACTGTCTGGTGCAGATATGGAGACACTTATGGCCAAGAGAAGATCATGGGGCCAACTGAAAATCTTCAATAAAAGGACTGCCAAGGGCTCAGAAACCAGATTTAGCTATTTTCAAGGCCAGCTAATTAGGTTTAAAGCCAATGATGTGTGTTGTGGAAGATAGGTAGACAGCTCCTTTCATTCCTCTTGGGAGGATTCCTACTTCATCCCACAGCTCTGGGGGTTACTTTAGGACAACTAATGGACGCTTTGTCTCCCTGTCCTGAATGTCAGGTAACCCAAGGATCCTTGCCCTGGGGGCCGGGTTAGAGGGGCAACCTGCTCATGACCATGGTTCTCCCTTGACTTTCTCAAGCTGGGAGCTCAGTTTTCTTCTTTGGACTTCACATTTCAAAATTTTTGGGGGGGATGGTGGAGTACCCCACATCCCAGGCTCCATCCACAGCCCCAGCCAGAGGCTCTCTGCTGTGCCGGGTCTCTCCACCAAGACAGAATGCTGGCCATCTTTTCCCAATTACTAAAAATAAAATTAAAAAAACAGCTAATGAATTGTTTTCTCAGCTTTATGGTTTTTGCTTGTAAAATTTCTTAAACTTTTGGCCACTGCTGTTATCTGTCTGCTACTGAGCACTAGCAGCTGGGGGGAAAAAAAGGAATAGCACTAATGGAAAAACTCAGAAATGGCTTATCACATGTGGTTCAATAGCATGTTTCTTCATGGACATGTGTGGTCTTGGCTGTGATCTTATAATGCATACATATAACATCATCCTATTTTACTGCTAATAAAATTATTCCTGAATCCTGTGATGGAATGAAACATATAAATATGTCATGGTGTTCTGCAGAGAGCAGTGTGACTTCCAGGTGTGTTTCTACTTAGCGGGTTTAGAAGCTGCTCTCCGGTCCCCTCTCAACTGGATGAGAGAGAGGTGCCAGAGGTGACTTAGGATGAACTGAGCATGTCCATTTGTGCACAAGTTGTTAAATAAACCACAAATTTTACTCCTCAGAGTAGCTTTACACTCATTCCTCAGTGGGAGGGAATGGGCATGTGAGATTATAGACAGTTGTCTTTTTTAGTAGAGAGGAATTCTTTTGGATGATGAAAACTGTCAGATTTAAAGAATCAGCAGTAAAACCAACAAATAAACTACCAGTCCTCAAAAATCACTACTACCTAAAGCTGTCCCAGATCAAATTCCTCTGGTTGCTTTACAAACCTCATGCATGCTGCACATGGGTTAACTAAAGTGTTCATTCTGCAGTGTGGGCGGTTTGCTCTGTGGCCAAGAGTGGGCCAGTTAGAGAGCACGGATAAAAGCCAAAGGGGTCAAAGTTCATTGTGGGGAGTGGTCAGTTTCTATGAATGAAAATTTAAAATGCCCCATTTGACCCAGGCAATTGCACTTTTGCTTTGGGGCTGGAACGAAAATGTTTGAGTTAGGCTCTGGGGCGGGGCACGGTACTACACCTGTCTGCTCAGGCTGCTGGGTCTTTTTCGCTTGCATCTTCAAGTCATTTACCTTTCTGGGGGACAGGGCCTAGGAGACAGGGAAGAGGGAAAGGCAGTAGCGCCCATGGGAGCCCTTGAGAGAGCCCTGCTTTGTCATTTCGCCATATCAGAGACTCCCTTTCCTTGACGTCTTCCCTGTGGTGGTCAACAGGGAGCTATCTGAGAGCCCGTGGTGCTGTTGGGCGGGAGGACCTTTTCTCTGATTGTCAAGGTTGATCTCTCCTGCAGAGGGTGGGCAAGTGACTAGAGCGGGTAACTCATGTTGAAATTTGTCATAAATCTTGAGTCTCACTAAGTTGGTTCAGCGCAGCTTTTGAAGAATTTCCATTTTTCATTTGAATGTGAGGTGATGAGATATGACATAATTCTTAAACACGTGTATCACACATGATTAACAGGGAAAAGAAATTCAGCCATCCTTTCAAGCAATCCCATCTTTGACTTCTGCTCAAGAATATATCTATCTGTGAAGAACACACAAAGCTCAGTGGAGTTTAGAAGTTGACAGAACCCAAGCTCTATTTCCACCATTATTTATAGCTTTATAGCAGAAATATCCACATTCAGTGTTTATCCATCACGTGGAGAGACATGGAGCATGCCGTGAGCAACTTCTGTTTGAGTGTTAGACCATGTCATGTGTGAGGCACTGTGCTGAGTATCTTTATTTTCCTTTAGGTTTAACACAGACACCTAAGAGAGGAGTAAGAGGGAAAAAGTATGGAGCAGTTTATTCTGTGTGTGTGTGTGTTTATCTGGGTTGAGAGAGAGGCTTTGTAGCTGGCTGGAAAGAGAGGACTGTGTACAAGCCTTCCTCCACCCCCCGGTGGGTAAGCAGGGGTGCTGCCACCTACTGCCACTATTATAATCACAGGTATAGATATATTTGAGTGTGTATTATGTAGCCGACATGACACTAAGCATTGTTCATATAACTCATTTATTTGGCAAGTATTTGGGTGTCAATTATGTGCTTGCAAACATTAGGCAACAACAGGCTATCACAGCCTGTACTCCAGTGTTTGGGGTGGGGGGGTTGGTGGAATTGCAGAGACAGATGATAATGAGTAGGTAAAGTGTTGTCCTCTGATGCACTCCAGCAGTGCCAGGGAAGGAAAAAAGAAGTGTTTGATCTCAGTGACACCTCACAGTAATCCTGTAACGTAGGCACTGTCACCCCATTTACGGATGAGTCACCTGAGCCTCCCTTCATTCCATTGCTTTGGGGCCCAGTTTCTTTCTCTTATGTGAAGGGCCAGGGTCCTGTGGTTTATGATTGTATTACAGGAGCTCCTCCCCCTAACACGCACACACTCTGTAGGGAGCTGGCGGTGATGATGGCGGGGGGGAGTGCTGGACCGCTGAATTCAGACAGGAAAGTTGCAAGCACTTGTGCTTAATGCAGGCCTAGCTTGAAGCCTGCCAAGGCTATTTGTGTTCAACCAGATGTTCCTTCCTTTTCACCTTTATTCTTCTAAATATTTCCCATTTTCTAGCCCAAAACAAAGGAGAGTGAACATTCATCCCAATAGTTTATGCACATTTCCAGACTTAAAATCCTTAAATGGTAATAAGGGACTCAGATATCACAGCTGAAGAACACATTTTTCAATTAAATTAAGCCAATGTTTGAGTGTTATTATCAGGGATTAGATGGTGCACACATGCGTGTGTGCACGAGAGGGAGAGAGGATGTCGTCTGGCTACTTCCCTCTCTCCGGGCTGCCTGCATTTGCTGCTTGGCATGTGTTGCCCAGGCCCTGTTTGGCATCTTGGGCCCCAAAGTCAGCAACCAGGAAACAGTTCTGGGCCCACTAGCACCACTGGAAATTCTTAGCTTCAACGCTTCCTTCCCTGCACCGTCTTCCTCTTAACCACATCTGGGTAAATCACTAGAACACGTGTTTTGTGCCGAGGTTTAGTGCCAAGTGTGGCTAATGGAAGATGCCCCTGTTATAAACATCAGCAGAGACACCCAGTCTTCTTAAACTACACCTGGACGGTGAGACCCAAGGCCCACCAACCACACTGATCGACTGTCTCGAGGGCTGAAATAGTTACTTTGTTGGAAATGGAAGAACAGTTACACTGTGGTGTGGACGTCAAAGTAGTTTGATGACGAACATAAGCAAGGAGACAATTCAACAGTCAGCAGGAGGAGGAGAATGCATTTGTCCTTAGAGTTAGAAAGGGTCGTAGAAGATCACCCAGTTCTGCTTGCCAGGCAACTTAGCCAAAGGAAAAGGCTTTCCATTCACTTTTTGGGGAAAAGCCAACAGATCTGTACATCAAGCTACATCTGTGTCTGTCTTGTCTTGTAGTAGCTGCCTATTCTGTGCTTAATCCTCCTGTCTCCCCTCCTTTTCTTACTGTATGCATCTGTTCCCTGGTTCTTTTAAAACTGCTCCAGCTTAACCCACTTCATGCCTCCTCAGAGATCTCCATTCACCATTTAGCAGAGCACATAGTACATGCCAGGCACTGAGCTGAGAGAACAGAGAGAAATAAGACTGTTGCTGTCCTTGGTGGACTTTTGTTCTCAAGACCAGGATCAGCTTTGATATAACCCATCCAAGGACCAGCATTGGGAAACTACTGTATTTAGATTATTTCCAAATTTACCAAGCAAAAATAAGCAACTTTCCTTTGAGATCTTTATAGTGAAAGTAGGAAAGAGTTTTATGTTCCAAACCACCAAGCCAAGAGTAAGGCAATGCTTACTTCACTGCACATACTCATCTTGGGCATAGGAAACCACGTCAGGGGATTGTGTCCCATTTTGTGGCTTTGCCCTTGGCTTAGTGGTCCTGAACGTGAAATGAAGTATTTTCCTCTCTGCTGCTGGAGGATAACCACCCCTGAGCCTTCACCTGCAGAGCCCACTTAGGAGCCACCTCTTGCAGTAAGCCCTCTGCAGTCATCCCCGCTATAAGAGACCCCACTCACTGAGCGACAGGCCTAGCTACATGCTTTTGCTGCTTCTCAGCCATTTGCTCTCTTCTGATGTCTGTTCTTGTGCTTATGCCTAATTGCTCCATGAGATTATAAACCTGTTAAGGGTACCTGTTTGCTAGACCTTGTACCTAGCTGATGCTTAAACAGCATTTGTGCCTTGATGGAATGGAGGCAATAAACTTCTATTCTTGAGATGTTTGCTAGGCAGGTATGTCACTGTTATCTCGTGGAGTCACTACTAAAGTGATGTTAATATCTTCCATGTCCCCTTTCCTTGTATGCTGATGGACATTTAGAGCATACTTTTTGAGGGTTTTCCACTCTGAGTCAAATGTTCAGCCTAAAAAGTTGCACATGAATGGATGTTTTTTAAATTACATATTTAATATAAAGGGAATTTTTCAAGTAAGTGGATGGACATCCTTACGTTGAAGAGTGTACAATATTCTTGTCAAAAGGGCAAGGATGATGTGGGACAGCATTTCCTACTATGAAATATTCTTATTTAGAAACATGCTCAAGTCCACCCGAGGATAACGTCATGCTGTGAAGCTTGGTGGCTGAAAGACGCTGCCATTGGCGAGTGATAAGGCCTTGGGTAAACGATGACGTGAGTTGGATAAGGAACGTTTTTGGATTGCTGTTTCTAATGACTTCTGCTTTACTCATAGGCGTCACACCCTGGTCAAATGTCATGGAAATCCTGGAGGAAAAGGATGGAGTTGACACGGAGCTGCTGGTTTATGCGATGACTTTAGTGAACAAGGTTGGTGGATGTGTGTTATGGGTTGGATGTTGTCACCCCAAAAGATACGTTGAAGACCTAATCCCTGGCATCTGTGATTGTGACCTTATTTGGAAATAGGTGTAACCCAGATGTAATCCAGTTAGGATGAGGTCATTAGGGTGGGCTTGAATCCAGTGTGACTGGTGTTCTTGTAAGAAGAGGCAAAGAGACACAGAAGGAAGACGGTGTGAAGGCGCATGCACACGAGGAAAGCCACGTGAATATAGGCAGAGATTAGCACCGTGTGTCTACAAGCCAAGGAATGCCAAGGATTGCTGGCAACCAACCTAGGGTGAGGCCAAGAAGGATCTTCCCGTAGAGCCTTCCGAGAAAGCATGGCCATACTTTAATATCAGACTAATAACGGCCTCTCAACTGTGAGGAAATAATTTTAAGTCACCTAGTTTGTGATACTTTGTTACAGCAGCCATAGGGAACAAATGCAATGTGAAAATCTAAAAATTTCCCTCTGAATAAGAGCTATACCACAGACCCCCATCGTGGTGGCTGGAATGACAGCTGCAGTGTGTTTGTTCACAGGGGAAAATCCTTCATGCCATGCATGGGGTAGGTGTGCGTGCAGGAGCACGTACGTGTGAGAACCTGCATATGTCTGCATATGTTCCTGCTTAGGTCTTTTCTAATAAAACCAGAAAGATGACAGAATTTTATGACTACTTTCCCTATCAAGTTGTCCCCTTAAAAATTTTAAGGATATAAATGACTAAGTTTTACTCTAAGGAAATAGTTCAGAAGTCAGGAAGAAATGAGGTGTTCTTGTCCTACTGCATATTGAATTCGGACTACTGGGCTGAGAGAAGGAACCCTGGGCCAGGCCCCATCCTCCTTATATGACGGTGACTACGCCTTTGTTCTCCCATTCGTCCCATCACCTCCCTCCCTGGTCACCACCTCACAGGGTGGTCCCCAGTGCCCATCCCAAAGGTGTTGCTCTGATACAATGGGTCCCATGCTGACCTGGGACAGGCCCAGTCCAGGACTGGAGTTTCACCATTCAGATCGCCACACCTTTGGAACACAGGCACACATCAGCCGCCCCATGCACCTTCCATGTGCTCTGCAGGCTGTTGGGCATGAGCCCACAGGACCATCTGCGGTGATGGTTAGGGTTTCAGAAAGATCCAGAGTCCCTTTGTCCTAAACTTCAACTAGAGAAATGTTTCCCCCAATGAACAGGGGATAAATTTGTAGAAAGCAGTAGGAGGTGCAACTTCTCCTACGAGATAGTAACATATGCAGACTCCAAGGATTAAAACCAATGTGGTCTGGCTCTTTGCTTAGCGGACAGATGATTGGCACAGAGGAGCTCTGAAACTGACCTCGACATGCAGAACAACTTGTACAGTCGACGTCAATGGGGGTGGGTTAGCTTCATCCGTAATTGGGGAGGTGTTGCTAAATGGAAATAAACAAAAGCATATTTTGACCATATCCCACAATGAATCTGCGATAGATGAAAGAGTTTAATGTAACATATAAAACTGCAGGAAAAAACATAGAGATGAAGACTAATTGGTCCCCAGCTGGCAAAGGTTATTTTAATAATAAAACCAGTGAAAAAATTTCCAGAGAAGTATTTTAAATATTTCACTGTGTAAAATTGTAAAAGATCTTATTTATAAAATGAAAATCCCAAATTATAACTAAATGAAAATTACAAACTGGGACATTGTTTGCAAAAAAAAAATAGGGTAGAAAATACTATTGTAAATATATTACGAACCCATTAGAAAAACGAAAACATTAAAACAAACTGAGAACAAAAGAAATGTATAGTAAAACAAGACATTCTCCCCAGGTCATGCTGGCAGTGATTGTTTTTTAATGAAATGTCATTTGCTGATGAGCACACTGGAAACTCTCCTACAGCCCCGATGGGAAATGGGCAATCCTAAGAATTCTGCTTTTAATTTCAAATTTGTTTGTGGGCTTGTTTTACCATTTGATTGGAAACAATTTTCTCTTGGCTTTTAAAAATTAAATTCATCTATTCTCCATCCTCTTTAGTCACATTGTTTTAGAAAACACTGAATTCAGGAGAAAATTTTAGCTCTTGTACAGTGTTATCCTTTGTAGTGTTATCCATTTTACTGGTGGAGGCTGTGCCTGTTCTTATGATCGTGGCAGCACCCGCAGGCCACGGGCACTCTGTTGCCAGTCACTGGCAAAGACCCAGCATGCATCACCCTCTGCTTGGCATCGTGTGGCATTTAATGTCCAGGAATTCCTCCCTTTCTCTTCTCTTTGGCAGTTCTGTCTCATCCGTTGTTAGTTCTGGCCCAGGAGACATCCAGGAAGGTCCTCGAGGACATTCCTCCAAATGTAATCCTTTCCTTAAAATGGTCAACAGACTGCTGGCGCTCGTGCTGGGTTTGTTTTGTTTTGTTGAATTGTAGTGTCAACTGCCCTAGTGAGTAAAATCCTCGGAGATGCCAAGCAAAATAACAAATCGAAATGTTAATACGGGTCTGGACAAAAATTCAGACTCTGAAATTCTGGTAAAGTGTATTGCAAGTTGGGTGGTTTCTAACTATTGATTTCAATAAAATAAATTGCTAATAACAAAAAATTGACATTTCCATAACAGACCAAACACTGGTACTAAATCCTAGCCTGCTTGCAGTTCTGAGAGTGAAGTCAGCTCTATTTGCAAAACAGGGATATTAACAGAGTGGCTTCTGAGATGCAGAGTCATTACCCATCCACCCCCATCCCCATCTTCCAAAGATCCGAGAGAGTGCCAGAAATTAACCATTTCTCTCCCTACAAGGCATATAATCCCCTGTCACTGATACCCCTCAGAATCCCTCCACTTTTGGGGGCTCAAGAGCTGTTACTGTGGATTTGGCTTAGAGCATTCAGGGAAGGCTGGACCCCAGGGAACCCTGGGGAGAGGAGCTGCTTTATCAGAGCTAAAGAATAATTAACCTGGATGGGATTCAGGCAAAGTAAATTTTGTTTTTTATTTATTGTCTTAGTCCATTTTGTGCTGCTATAGCACAAACTGAGTAATTCATAAAGAAATTCATTTCTCACAGTTCTGGAGGCTGGGAAGTCCTCAGCCTGAGTAATTCATAAAGAAATTCAGACTGAGTAATTCATAAAGAAATTCATTTCTCACAGTTCTGGAGGCTGGGAAGTCCAGTATCAAGGTGCTGGCATTGGGTGAGGGCCTTCCCGCTGTATCAACCCGTGGCAGAAGGCGAGAGAGAGAGAAACTCATCCTTTTATTAGGAACCCACTCCCACGATAACTAGCCCACTCGTGCAATAATGACTTTAATCCCTTCTTGAGGGCAGAGCCCTCTTAAAAGTCCCACCTTCCCACACTGTTGTATTGGGGATTAAGTTTCCCACACGTGAACTTTGGGGGGCACGTTCAAACAGCGGTAATTATCATGTAACGTATGGACTTTTTCTTTTGGTATATAGCTGTATGAGCTTTAACACATACGTAGATAGGGATCATCTTCATAAGTAGGATGTGGAGCAGTTCCATCTCCCCCCAAATCTCCACCATGTGATCCTTCTATAGTGACACCCTAACTTCTTATGTATAACCCTCAGCAATTACTGATTTATTCTATCACTGTAATTTTGTCTTTTCAAGAATGTCAGATGGAATCATGTGGTATGTAACAGTCTGAGGTTGGCTTTTCTCAGTAGAATGCCTTTGAGATCCATCTGCCTTGTTGCGTATGTTAATAGCTCGCGCCTTTCTACTGTGTAGATGTGTCGTAATTTATCTAGTCGCCTGTTGGAGGCGATTTGGGTGTTTCCAGTTCTTGGCTTCCACAGGTAGCACTGCTGTGAACATTCACATACAGTCTTTGCCACAATAGTTTTATCCTACAAGAAGGATTTGGTGGAATCAATGAAAACCTGGGGGCAGGGGTGCCGGGAATGTCCTTTAGGACAAAGAGTTTCACCTCTGAGAGATGCCTGTAAAGATTTACTTGTCACAGGTCCTGGCAAGACAAAGTCCAGGAGAAAATGGGCATGGAGGACACCAGGTGTCAGGCAGCTGTGCTTGGCCTTGGCAGCGTCTGGGAGTAAAGGCGTCAGGAAACACTTGCCTTGCAGACTTTTCTGGTGTGGCTGCCGCCTTTGCCAAAAGCAGGCAGCTTAGCAGTAGGGGCCACAGGGAGGAACTGGGAGGAGAGGCCCAGGGACAGGTGGGAGTGTGGTGAAATTTGCTAAGTGTGTTAGAGGATCAGCCAAAAACAGATGAATGTGTCTTTCTGGGATGTGTAGCACCCTCCTGCACAGGCGGAAAAAGAAGCTGTATTTGTGTGTATCGGGAGGCCACCATCTTCCCTGCAGCTTGCATGAGAGGTGGTGGCATGCCGCTGGGCTCAAGCCCAGATTTTCACAGGCGGAAATGACAAATGGCCTCTTCGTACCCTCGGCTCTGGGCCTGCCATTCAACAAAGGCTCCCCGAGTCTGTTTAGTTCTATAGCTTTAATTGTTTAATAGTGATTCTCCACATGCTTATGGTTAAGTTTGCTAAGGCAACGGGGATTAGGTTTAGCAATTTAACCCCCTGGAAACGTCTAGGTGAAAGAACCTCAGTTGACTACCAGCAGGGAGAAAGGGGAAGAAGGGAGGGTAACAGAGAAGTGAGGAGATGACCAGAGGCCTCTCTGTGTCACATGCTGGCTCCACGCTGCTGTGTAGAAAGTTTTAATTCTGACACTAAATGTCAGTTGCCTGTTTTGCAGGGGTGCTTTGCAGAGGTGGCAGGAAGTTAGGGCATCTCTGATTGTTTGCCCTGCCCAGGCCTGTTTTTTGCTGTTTTCCTCTCCTCATATTTTAACAAGTTCTGTAGTTTTCCCTAAAACCAAAGTATGAAATTATTCTGATAAGAGTCATCAAATGAGTGCACAGGTTTTCAATCGTGTTGGAAGCAGGGGCAGCCCAGTTGACCATATGGTAGCATGGTGTTGACTGTGTGGCCTGGCGCCTGTCACACGTGGCTGCCTAAGTGTGTGAGCACCTATTTGTGACAGCTTCCAATTCACAGCCTCCTGTTCTGTGTCCTTAACGGGACTCTTGAGTAATTAAGCCTTCACATGCCAATTGTTTTTCGTTAGCTTCTGATCTCAGTAGTAGTGAGTTGTGCCCTCTTTGCTCAACATAAAAAGGAAAAAGCCATTATTTGGCTTAGGAATAGAGACATTCTTTCCAATATTGATAGCCCCCAAATAGAAGTGTTAGAGTAGCTGGTGCTGCAAAATGATCCTTATGAAAGTGTTGGTCTTATTTCTTCTCAGGCAAGTTGCTATGTTTAAAATATTTTAAAATGTATGTAGTGTTCTTAGAGATACAAAGGTAGTGAAATAAGCAGGGAATGAAGGCCAGTGTCTGAAATTCCAGGCTGGAATAATTTGTGTAGGAGACTGGAATGGCAGCTCTGAGCCCAGGGTTTTACGCAGTGTCTTCAGAGACTTCCTGTTGCCTCGGGAAGATCCCATCCCATCCCTCCCTCCTTTATAAGATAAGGGACCTGCAGTAAATCTCTGCAAGGTTCCTTCCAGCCCTGAGCAGGAGGCTGGTCTGAGAAACCCTGCTTCTTTTAAGAGAGGCAGAATTCAAACAGAAGTCAGCTTGCTCTTTCTTGGGGTATCTTTTTATCTCTTGATCGCTACTTTGAAATTTCTCGTGCTTTCCTAAATTTCATAGACTAAGGAGAGGCCCTGCTGAATTTAAATAGAAGGGAATCATTACATTGTTATAACCTCAGCTGTTGATTTGTAGATCTTAACAGGAGTGTCTAATCATGAAGCATATTAGTTTTCTAATGCCTTGTAATGAATTACCACAAATTGAGCAGCTTAAAACAATAGACATTTGTCGTATCACAGTTTCCGTGGGGTGACAGTTCAAACACAGCTTAGCTGGGTCCTCTGCTCAGGGTGTCACAGGCTGCAGTCAAGGTGTTGCCCAGGGCTGTGGTCCCATCTGAGGCTTGGGGTCGTCTTCCCAGCTCATGTGGTCGTTGGCAGAGTTCATTTCCTTTCAGCTGAAGAACCCATGGTGCTCGGCTGCTGCTTCCAGGCCAGTGGTCTCCTCTCGTCTCTGAGCTCAGCAAAGAAGAGCTGAGTCCTCTTTGGAAATGTTCACCTGATTATCACCCTGGACAATCACCCCTTTGATTAAGTAAAAAGCCAACTGATTTGGGACCTTAATTACACCTGCAAAATCCCTTCCCCTTTGCCACACAATGTAACGTCATGATGGGAGTGCCCGGCCCACACTCGGAAGGGGATTACATAGCATGTGTACAATAGAGGGGCGAATCTTCTCCTGACCATACCAAAGAGGTTTTTTCTCAGATAAATTTATCATCTGTCTTGCTTTGTCCCATATTGTTATAATCATGGCTACCAGCTACCACGTAAAAAATGCCTCGAGACAGTCCCTAAGACGTGCCTGTATCCGGATTTTCTTTTCTTCCAGACGTTATCAGGATTGCCAGACCAAGACACCTTCTATGATGTCGTGGATTGCCTGGAGGAGCTGGGCATCGCTGCCGTGTCCCAGAGGCACTTGAGCAAGAAAGGGACTGACCTGGACTTGGTGGAGCAATTGAACATTTACGAGGTAACAGAACGTGCCTTTCGTGAGGTATCGTATAGTGCTGCAAATGTCCAAGGCTGAGATGACTAGACCAGGGGTTCCGAGTGTGGTATAGGAGCATCAGCAGCTTTCAGAAATGCAAGTTCCCAGGCTCCAGCCCAGAAACTCTGAGGGCCCAGCAGTCTGTGTTATAACAAGCCTTGCAGGCGACTCTGATGCATACTTCAGTGTCAGAACCCTTGATGTAGGGGAGATTTGGTAGCTCTTTTAAAGAACATGCATTCTGTCAGCACCACCTCTGCTCAAGGGGAGAGGGGGAGAGAGAGAGACAGATACAGAGACAGTGATCACATTTCTTATACCTGATGGGGGTGGAACTTCAGGCAGGGTCAGATACATAATTTGTGGGAACCAGAGCAAAATGGAATGTGGGGCCATTTGTGGAAAGCACAGGAAAAAGTGCTGTTAAAGATACCAAAGCACCTTTTTACTTTGTTCTGTGGTCTCTCTCACCTCATTATGGTGTTTTTCATTTGCTATGTAATGTCATAAGGAAAGAAAAATTAAAATTTAAAACTATTAGCATGAATTTTACTGTTCATCTTTATATTATGCAATGTTAGTTTAAAATGCAAATATAAGAACCTTTAACTTGTATGCAGAATCAGCAAAAATACCTAATTCATATTCTGTAGCTCCTACATGCATATCTACCAGAACAGCGGAAACAGTGCACAAAAGTGATTCCACTGTTTTTATTTCAATTTTTTTTTTTTTGAGACAGAGTCTCACTCTATTGCCCTCGCTAGAGTGCCGTGGCGTCATCCTAGCTCACAGCAACCTCAAACTCCTGGGCTCAAGCAATCCTTCTGCCTCAGCCTCCCGAGTAGCTGGGACTACAGGCATGCACCACCATGCCCGGCTAATTTTTTCTATATATTTTTAGTTGTCCAATTAATTTATTTCTATTTTTAGTAGAGACGGGGTCTCACTCTTGCTCAGGCTGGTTTCAAATTCCTGAGCTCAAACAATCCGCCCGCCTCGGCCTCCCAGAGTGCTAGGATTACAGGCGTGAGCCACCACGCCCGGCCTTCATTTTTCAATATGGACACATTTTACGAACACTCTGCCTTCAGCTTACTGATGAGTAAGGAAGGGCTGGAAGAAAAGGAACCTAGGGGCTGCCCCATCTTTTCCTTTGGTTGATGCCATCATTTCAGCATAAATGGTTGGCTAACATGGGGAAGTCTCAGGGGTAAGAAAGGACATGATGGGGCCCTTTGGGTTGCCATCTCTCTGCATTCAGCTCTGGCTCGAGGGGAAGTGTGGCCTCCCAGGGCTGCCAGTGCCCTGCTTTCTCAGTCGTGGGTGTGATGTGCCTTGTACTCACTTCGTCTCGCCGAACTCCCGCCTGTCACGGTTCCACTTGAATTCTATGCCCATGAGTGACAAGAAATGGCAGATGTGCACGATGTTCCTCTCTCCTGTGCTCATGCTGCTGCACAGGTCATTCACTCGTGATGCTGGCTCTGCTCTGGGCTACATGTCATGGCATTGTCTCCTCCAGCCAAGCACGTCATTTCCTTGGTTTTTCATTGTTAATGACTTGTGGCACTGGGAGGCCAGTGGGTCGTGGAGGGCTATGTTCCCATTGGCTCCTAAATGATACGATAAAGTGAGAATCCAATAAGAATACTGAGGATGGAGAAGGAAGAAAGCTAAGCCAGCATACAGCTGGCTTGTATGAAGGCAGCAGATGGGCTCTTGCCAGGTGAGATATCTCCCTTCCCCGAGCCCCTTCTCCATCCTGATCAGAACTTACATCTTTGAGACTCTTTTCAACTGAGGGTGCTTAGATGACAGCAGCCTTGGATTCTAAGGGGTCAGTGTATATCTATCTGTAAGGCAGCATCATGCAGATGCATTGCCCAGCAGTGCACCAACTGGGAGAGAGTACTGAAGAGCAGCCTCGATACCTACTCCAGGAAACTAGAAACCACTGATGTGCCTGTTTGAGGGCACACTTTCTCTCCCGCCTGCCTGCCTGGCAAGCTACCTCCCCAGGTCCCTCTTTCCCTTCGTAGCAAATTTTTTCAAAAGTTGTTCTTTATGTACCATCTTACCAAATTACATTGGCTTAATATTGTAGCATCAAGTATATATCATTCACAAATGGGGCATATTTGTGGCATTTAAAGAATAATGAAACAAACAGCCTGTACTAGCTTTAAGAACTACAACATTACTACTTGGAAGTGATGTGGGCGGCCCCTCTGATGTCATCTCACCACTCTTACCCCTAATATTGTCTTTTTAAAATAATTTTATCTGAAAATTGCTTATTCTGTGAGCTCTAACACAAAGGTTCAGATTATCCAATCAGAGTTGATCAGAGGTCTTGCCTAGTATCTACCTGTACTAATAATTTCAAGAATACAGGCTGTGGAGGCTTAGATGAAGCAGGGGGACATGTCTGGGACATCTCTTGTGACTTTCTTGATGCATTAGACATGTGCTTTCTGACCCAGAGCAATAAACAAGGTCTCTGAATGAGGTTCAGGGATTGCCTTGCCCAGTGAGGAGTGTTCAGTTATGAAATGGCTCTACTTCATGGCTCAAGCCAGGTGCTCTCCCTCCTCCTTCCAGGTCTATGCCTAAACAATATATTTTGTCCATTTTCAAGCTTTATGTAAATGGAATCATATCATTTGCATCCTTCTACAGTATATCCTTTTGCTTCATGTTTTTGAGATCTATCTGTGTTGATAATGTGGAGAGCTAGTTCATTTTCACTGACGATGAATATATCACAATTTAGTTATCTGCTCTTCTCTTAATGGATGTTGGCTGGCTTACAGTTCTGTTGCTTTGACAATAGTACCATAAGAGTGCTTGTACTCTGTGTATGTACAATAGTTAAGATATTTAGTTATCCGTTTTATTTGTGCTTCATACAAACATTTAGAAGTTATTCTTCTTTCTCTGTGCCCTGGAAATGTTTAAGTGGCATTTCACATTCTGGTCTTTGATGGTTTATTAGAATTCCCTTAGGAAATTATGTGGCCTGTGATGTTATGTGTATGTGTGGTGAGGAGAGTGAGGGGAGATCTTCAGTAACTGTATTTTTTTTTCTTTGGGACAATGGTTCACTTAAACTTTCTATCTTTACATGGATCAATTTTGCTAAATTACATTTTCATAGGAAATTATCCATTTCATCTGAATTTTTAAATTTGTTAGCAAAGACATGTATAAATAGTCTCCTATGAATTTTTTAAATTTCTCTGTCAGTGGTTATTTTCCCTTTGTTATTTCTTACTTTGTCTGCTTGTGAGTCCTCCCTTTTTGTTGTCCAGCTTAACTAGTGGTTTGTCTATTTTCTTGAATTTTTTTCAAACAATAATTTTGATTTATATATGAATTACACTGCTTTTTCTGTTTAGTAACTTGATATGTTTTGCTATTATCTTGATAATTTCCTTTTACTTTCAATTTCCTTTATTTTTCCAGATTCTTAAGTTGAATATTTAATCAATTTCTTTTCATCTTGTAACCATCCTTGCATTCTTGTTATATAACCTACTTGGTCATGAAGTGTTCTTTTTAAAAATGTGCTTTTGGAATTCTGATTGATTCTAATTTATTTACAGTTTATGCACCAGTATTTGTAAGTAAGATTGGTCTGTGGCAGCAACTCCCCCTGCCCCCTTCCTATTCCTTTGTCATGAGCCACCTTTATCAGTCTGGGCTTCACTGTTAAACTAGCACCACAAAAGAATTCCTGACCACTCTTACACATTGCTCTTGGTGGCTATGTGTGTGGACGTCTCCAGGGTACCTCCCTGATTCTCTTCCTCGGTGTCCTCCCTGGATTCTCCTTCTCTGTCCCCTCCCTTTCAGTGTTGGGGTGTCCTTGTCAGACCTCTTCTGTTAGTCTATGTGCCTTATTTATGATTCACCCTGAGGTCAGCAGTTGGGGGCTCGTGGCTGATAACTTGACCCCAAGCTTTCTTCCGAGGCCCATAGCTGCCTGCTTCTGCCTGCCTTTGTCTCTGCCTGCTTTTTGTTGTGTATTTCATTCATTCATTTGGGGCTCACTGCATGTCACATAGTTTACTGGGCTGTAAATACAGAGATTAAAAGATCTGTCCCTGCTCCTATAGAACCTCCATTTAGTAGTCTGAGAAAGTAAGTGCCGATTCCCCCAGCAGCTAAATGTGACAGTGCAGGGGGACTTAGAACGTGCCGGGAGCTCTGACTATATTTGACATAGCCACCTGAACACCACACATGAAATGCAACCAGCTCAAAATAAAGTCTTTCTTTTCCTCCCATGACAAAAACAAAAATCCTGGAGTCTCTTCATGTCTCCATCTCTATGAACAGCAGTTTCTCAAGTTACAAACCTGGAGCTGTCCTGCATTCCTTTCCCTTTGCTGTGTTCCCACATTTAGGAGTTTGCTGAAAACTGCATTTTTTTCTCCATTCCCATGGTCATTCCTCTAGCTTCAGCCCTTATCCATTCTTGCCTGGACTACAATCCTAATATCTCCTCATTCATTTGCTTATCTGTTAATTTATTCATTCAACAAAACTTTACTGAGCACCTACTGTGTGCCAGGCACTCTTCTAGGCCCTAGTGACATAGCTGTGAACAAGACAGATAAGACCACTGCCCTGGGGGAGCGCACATGCCAACGGCATATAGACAGCAACAAAGTACATGGATGAGTGGAGAGTCCAGCATGTCTATGAGGAAAAGAGATAGGATAAGGTGGGGGCGGGAAACCGAGGTGGGGCCAAGGGAGGCCTGTCTGAGGCGATGGCCTAAAGAACGACCGTGAAGGAGGGACAACACTGGGGAGATCTGGCTTGGCAAGTGTGAAGGTCGACAGGAGATTGCATGACTCAAGGGGCAGGGCTGGGAGGACAGCGTGTGCAGAGCCTGGGGACACTGGCATCCTGTGGGGGCCACATCCCACGGGGACCTTCTCTGGTGTCTCTCCCTTCCTAACTCCCTCCAG